AGAAGAGGGCCTGCAAGGGGGGGTCCCGACAACGCTCAACGCTGAATTTGGAAACCTCTCGATTACGCTTTACGATAAATTCCAAGTGGCTACAACGCATTACGTAGAATTAAAACGGCGAATACGCTCTACGCAAAATGCGAAGAGCGGTCTGTCTACGCTCTACGTTGAATTAAAACGGCCGATTACGCTCTATGGAAAAGGGCTTGCGGACCCCCTTAGAAATAGGCCTAGAGTGCCTTTCCCAAGCTGAAGGAAACAACAGTTGGGTCTGCCAAGGATTCGAACCCAAAGTCAACAACTCTAAGTCTAACCACATGTACAAGACCACCTGTCCAGGCCTGTTTTAAACCCCGTGTACTTACTTGTACCTTTTAAACTTAAATTAAAGTATATTTCTGGTTTGTATAAAACTCTAATTCCAACCCGACTCCTAAAAGTAGGTTTCTGTAGCCAAAAATAGATGTTGAACAGCATGACATGACACATGGTGGTAGTTGGCATAAGCATGACATGTCTATTTATACCTACAGCTCTGTTACCTTAGAATGATAACAACCAGCTGGTCTGGACTTGTAGAAGTTGTAGGCATTTACAATTTTAGGGTGGCAAAACGAAAAATATTCTCATTATTCTGATGAGAAATTCTGTCTGATAATATTGACATTTACTGTACATTTTTGTCTTCAGTGAAGTATTTGAAGTAGCCCAAAGACAAGCTACGTGAGGTGTCTCTTAATTTTTTGGGTACCACCCATAACTAAGCTAGACCCAGCCTACAATTATAGCCTACAATTATACATTTTTTAACAAGCAACAGTTTGCTATCAGTGACATCACATTTTTGCTTCACAGATAACAGTTTGCTATGAGATAAAATTGATTCAACTTAAGACATTACAAGAATGACAGGAAAATTGACAGTGTTGAAATTGCTTGGATGTCTCTTCATCACTTGGGAATGACGAAAAAATCTGACTGATTAATACATTGTAGAATAGTTTTCTAACTGATATATTCTCCATGTTTCTTTTATTACGTACAATGTAGTAAACAAATAAAAATATTACATTGTGCTTGCAAAATATACAATTACAATGTAAATCTGTAAGATTAAAATATGTTGAAAATAGCGATATCTTGGTGCATGCTGGTCTGTATTTATAAGATCACTTGAGCTCTGAAAAAAGAAAAAAACTAAATTTTTTTCTCTTGTGCACCCTAAAAAAATTTACTGCATTGAAGTGGGTCAACTTTAAATACTTAACCTTCTCCCTGCTGCCTAATCCCTAACTATCATTACAAATTTGGTATACAGCATGTGGAAGGTTAAGTTTAACTATTACAAATTCCCATAGGATGAATACTGTTGTTCTGCTACCTTCAATCACCACAGAAATTGGCCACCAGGAGGAATTGGCAACAGTGCAGACTAAAAACCCAAGTGGTTTGAACTACAATATAATTAGAGCTCACAACAGGCATTCAGTTTCCCTTTACCTAATACCATACATAGATAGCCAAACCCCCTAGGAACACATACACCTGAGGTACATGTACAGATTTTCACAATGAGAAATATTACCGTAATTCTTGAAACTTTTGCAGTGTTTTTTTTTCCACTTAGCGAATTCATGACACTGCAAATATGCGTTTTGAATGTATGACTACTGTACTACAGAATAAATGTTTCAAATGCGAATCTAAAATACTGCAAAAAAAACTTTTCCAAAATAAAACCATCAAGAAAGTAGATGAATTTATCTACTATATTCTTATCTTATTAATGCCCTAAAAAAGGGTACGCTATAGCTTGAGTTATTAGATACATGTATAAGAAAAAAATAAATAAAGCAAATAAAAACCATTTCGTTAAAAGAATCTGTGGTTTCAATGTTATTGTAACAGTAATATTATATAAGGTACAAAAATATTCCCAATTTTCCATACTTGGAATTATATTTTTAAGAATTAGTCTACAAAAACACAGCGACAGACATACTGGCTACACATAAAGTCATTCTCTGCATTCTGTGATGAATAAAAAAAACGGGGAAAAAAGGAAAAATGCTCACACATGTATTTGTAATTTCAAAAGAAAACACATTTTCCATAATTTTCAAGTGAATTGTCAAAAATTATACCCAGTACATGGACCAGTGCAGGTTTGGTGCAATCAGACATCAAAAATACATGCACAGCTCCAATTTTACCTGCACTAACCTGCATATACCCAGTACATGGACCAGTGCAGGTTAGGTGCAGGTAGACATCAGAAATACCTACACAGCTCCAATTTTACCTGCACTAACCTGCATATGCAAGATGGTATTTCAAGCCCTGCAGTATTTTGGCAAATTGGTAGCTTTTAAAACAGCTACTACTAGTACTAGTACCTTGGTGTACTGAATGTTAAGTAGCATCTGTATTGAAACAAACAATTGGGAGATTCTCTTCGTCAGTCAGTCTTGATAATATTTAGAGATATCTCAATGCGTCTGATACAGTACACAAATAATTACTTGTTACCGGTACAACTGTGCAAGCAAAAATACCCCCAGGCAAAACTAACACAACCCACAATGGAGGGAAATTCAATCAAGCAACATGGAACACTGGTGCCCAGGGCATATGTAACATACAGCCGTCTTAATTGGCATTTGGCTCGACTATATGTACTTATTAGGAAAGAACAAAATCACTGTATATGCAGCCAAAGAGAAAGCAGTGAAACAAATCGGCATTTTTGCTGTGAATTTCAAAATTTGTAAGGGAAAAAATGATAAAAACTTGATTGAAATATCAGCTACAGGTGAAACAGTAGATATTTTGGTGCTAGAAGCAATAAAATATGATATATAAGCAAATATTGATATGGAGATGTATAATGCACGAAATATAATTTAGCTGGTATACTACATTGTATTAATTTTGACTGATTGTCTACAAGCGGTTTATATATTGACCTGAGAAAATTAAAGCCCTGTCAGAGTTACATGATATTATATTGTATTGATTAATTTACATTACTGACTCTGGTAAAAATTATGGAATCCTAAGTAAATCAATCTGTAGATCACAAATGCATATATCATCTCAAATTAGGATGAAAAAAAGACATGTAAGAAACAATTCAAATATATGCTGTGGTTAAGTGTTAGTCAAATCCTAAATACATTACGTATATTAACAGTGTACAATTTTGCAATGTAAAATGACTCTGGCTTAATAACTACTCATTTAATTACACAATTAAGCTAATTAACAGTGAACTTAAGCTTGTGTTTTTGTACAGAAAGACCAGAAAAATGTTGCTAAGTTTGAATTCTATGTAAAAAAAAACTTCAACAGATAAATATTACAATTAATGTTGTACGCCTATGATCATACCAGTTTCTTATATTTTTGGGCTCTATGGAACAAGAAATCGATTTGAAATGATTTTTGAACAGATGACCGTTCTTAATGTTGACTTTTTCGGTAGCTTGTTGTCTTTTTAATGAAGCCCCCCTCCCCCTCTCAAAGCCATCTTTCAGACACCTTAGTATGTAAACATAAATGACTCAATAAATTCTCCCCGAATACAAACACATCTAAAATCGTAACCATTATCCTCACAGCGTTTCGGCAAACATAAAACTATCGTCCACCTATTCGTGCGACCTCGGAATATGTGCTTTAATACCTAACCCGATTATTGGCGACAGAATTTAAGCTGATGTCTTGAAAAATTTCTCAGCCGACGGCCGCCATCTTGGTTTTCGGGGAGTCGGAGTGTTTTTTTCTCCGCCCGGCACCAGAAAAATTCACCATAAAAAAATAACCGATCCTCTTTTGTTCTAAACTCTGGCGTTTACGACATTCCGAAGTAAACGCTCCTCGTTATGTGTCTTTTAAGAATTAAAATATTTGCCGTTCCTCGTTTTATATTCTCGTGACTACTCGTACCAAGGTTCAAATCCGCTAGAGCCGGGATTTTCTGTCTCTAGGTTTTGGACTCAAGAACGATCGAACCTTACGAGCTTTCTAGTTAATAAATGGAGTTAAGCACTTACCCATCCCCTCCGAAATTGGATGAGTACATCTTGACTTTGAGGTGGTTCTAGTACGCCGAAGCTGTCTCCTGAAAGCTGTCGGATTTTGAGCGGAGATCGTCACCAAAGTGCACCTCTACACTCGGCGGAGAATTGAACTATACTCAGATATCGTAACTAATAGCCTCTTATTTGCTCATCGGAACATTCGAGAAAATGAAAGCATCCGATTGTGGGGGGAAATATAATATACCACCGAATAAATCAC